AGATAACCGCCATAACTGATTGGAGGCTTCATACGGGTGAATGCCGTGCTCTGTCTGCTCTGGTCCTACCACAGGGTGGGACTCAGCTTCAGGGAGTTCACGTGGAGTAAATGAGAGTGTTGTGGGAGGCACTTTGGATAAAGAGCCTTCTAGATGGAGACACAGTGCATAAGGCCTGGGTGTGTGCAATGAAAGATGAGAACAGAGGTGCTGCCGGCATGGAGGAGGAGCAATGGGGACAAGGCTAAGGGGGTCACCAGGCGAAGTGCTTGAATTAGGCAGCTCTGGTTAGCACTGTGGCCCCATGAAGTGGGAGGCTCGGCATCATGGTATGCTATTGTTCATGATCCTGGCCTGCCTTGTAAGCTTCCATATTTTGGAGGGCAGGGACTGGATTTTCCTCTCTGTTGTTCCTTCTAGCACTGAGCTGAGAACTTGTCACAGGAGATGGCTTAGACAGAGTTGTGGCCAGGGAAAGATACTCCCGCAGCATGGCTGCTCCCAAAGGCTCTGGGAAGACCAGTCACACCATGTTGTTCTTGCTCTTCTGTCTAGATGTTGCTCAGGGCATTTTAGTAATCACAGTCACTCCTCAGTATTAAAAGAGTTGAGTGATTTTTCCACCCTACATTGGGTTCACTGTGATTTGGGCATCTGTTTGCCCAGGCCCCTTCCCAGCCATGGTCTGGGGGCAGTGTCATGACAGTGACAGGACCTTGTCTACCCCTCCCAGACCCTGGACCGAATGAGGCAGATCCTGTAGACACCATCTCCAGTTCCCAGGTTAAAGAAGAAACTGACTAAAGAAGTTTAGGTGCCCATAAGTGATCAAACCAGGATTTTAACCAAGATTTATCTAACACCGAAGTTCCTTCTGTTATGCTGTGCTTCTCTTATTTTTTTATGAAATAATGTCTATGTTACTTATTTGGAGAACTTAGAAAGTGCCAGCTTTATCTCATCTTGATCTTCGCAAAAGATCTTTAATCTTTGCATTGCACATATCAACAGAGTGGTTACTTGTTTGAGAACTTCTGCAGTGGCCTTTGCCCAGAAGAAGTAAACTCTGGAAAGAGGGAAGGAATCAGGAAGGCCAGAAGAGGCCAGCGCCTCCTGTGGTTCACTGGCACTTTCCCAGGCCTCCCCACCCTTCCTGCAGTCTGACACCCTACCCTGAATCATGTTTCCAGCACTCCTGGGGCAGCTGAGCCCTGTGCACACACATGCACACATGTAGTGTTCCTCTGCAGCCTGGGTCCCCACTCGTCACCTCTTCCAGATCACAAAGTATTTCACCCCCTTGAAGAATCTAACAGCCAAAATCTGCAGCTACTGCAGGGCAAGATCCTTCCTGGTTTTGCAGAGATTCATGCATGACCACAAGTACCTCAAGGTCAGGGGTCTTTCCTCTTCTCCTTTGTGTACTCAGTAAGCATCTGCTGTGTTCCAGGCACAGTAGTGGGTGTCAGGGCATATCGAGGCTGATGCAGTCAGCACACGGTGGTAAAACTGCAACTACCTTGACACCTCCGAGTGCTCCACCACTCTGGCTACCCCTGGCCAAACCACTTGGGCCCCTCACAGCCCGTCAACTAAAGCGCTAATGTGTAGCACACCACGTGGCCTCCAGAAGCTCAGGCTGTGTCAGCCCACATCTCGGACCTCCTGGAGTTCTCTGATGTCTCCAGATGTGTGCTTGGAGCAAGGCAGGTCCTCACTGGGATGGTCACAGGGCATTTTAATGCTGACTCACAGATGATGATCCTGCAGAATATGCAGTATTGTAGGGTGCAGACATACAGGAGACCTTGACAACTATTCTCCCACAATTTCTTAACTAGTAAGCTTCACAAAGAAAATCTGTCACCTCTTTCTTTTCTCCTGGTCTCCAGGATCCTGTCAGTCTTCCTTGCTTCTGTCTTTTACTTCACTAATGGATTTATGGCTTTGGTAGCATGTGCCACTTCTCCAGAGCCTATGAACATCTCATCAGCTCCATTCAAGCACCTTGAAGGAACCTGAAGCCTGTTGAATGTCCTCATCCCCTGTTGGAACCTACTGAGTTCCTTATGTTCCCAGGTCATTCCAGCTCTTAGCTCAGGTTCTTAGGTCTGCCCCCTCTTCTGGGGCTCTTTCGTATTCCCCGGGGGCTCTTTCTGTACTTGTCCTTGCAATACTCTCAATGATAAAAATATAAATGTAAATGCTGATCAGAAGAAAGACAGAAGAGTTTGTACTTCTGGCATCAGGCTGTGATGCCTGTGGATGGGACTGTGTAGTAAGAGTGGACTTAAGATAATTTGATTAAAATCATGTATAGAAACCTCTCGTTTCAGTACCTGGCATGTACCCAATACATCACATCTGCTTAATAAGAAGTTACAACTGTCGTCAAAGGCACTGTGAAACCAGGGTTTGTTATGGTGGAGATGGTATGGTAAAGGTAGTGACTCTTGGTATTGACTATAGAGTCATCATTGACAATGACAATGATAACTTACCTTAACTGGGAAGTGATACCTCTCTTTGGGGATACTCACAGCAGGTGTGAGACCAGCATTTAATAGAGTCCTTGGCCTTGACCTTTCTTACCTTTGCACTTAAGAAAGTCAAGAAGAAGATGGATGTCCTATGGAGAACAGCCGGCTTCATTATGGAGACTAGATGTAGAGGCACAAATTCTGGAATAAGACCTCCCTCATTTGAGCTGGAAGCCAAGGGCTTGGGAAAGGAGAATCACAAGGTTTAGGTAGGGGTAAAAAGGTCAAAATGAGTAAGATACAGAACCTCCTGGCCTCCGCTAGATTTTCTGGGGGAGCTTTGGGCTGAATTGTTCCCTGGGTATGACAGAATCCACTACTGTGTTCATGGAGCCACCACTGGAATTCTGGGAAGAATCACAGAGAACAAAAACATCAAGAGATGGAGGGCTAGCCTTCAAAATGAGAGGCTGTGGAAACCACAGAGGAGAGGGGAGTGGACCCTCCATTCATGCCATTTGCTAGAAGGTTCATAAGCTCCCAGGAGCTGGGAGAAAGGCAGTGAGCAAGAGACACTCACACGCACACTAGCCGAAACAGCTTCCGTTCCATTCTAACATCAACCATCTGTCATCTGAAAGATGAGGGGACCCGGAAATGTCATTCCAATATATCATAACCAGATGGTTACCTTGTACCTGATACTGAGGATTATCTCATCTCATCCTCCAATATCCCTATAAAATAGACAGTATGGAAACCAATGGTCACAAGCCTTAAATAAATTAGTAAGTGATAGAATTGGGATTTGAAGCATAGGTTGTCTATTCTAAACTATCCCTCTTGACCACTACCCTGCCCTGAGCTACATTTGTATTTGAGGAAAGCCTGGGTAATCTGTGAGATGTTTATGTACTAACTGTGGAATGTTTGCTCAGTAGACAAGGAAATAACCCCTGGTTTGTGGGCAGGGGAGTCCATGGATATTATGCCTGTTAAGATATCCCTCTAATCTAGACTTACAACATAGCCATCAGGTGGTGAGGCCACACCCCTGTGGGCAGGGAGTGGAATGGCTCATCTAAAGTTCTTCCTGATGGAAGGCCTCTACAGAAGGTGTGAGACCAGGACCTGGAAAGCTGTGCTGCTGTGAGGTTCTACAGCTACTTGAGAGACCCTGACCTTCTTGGTCTAGACTTTAAGGCATTAGTGTCTCCAAGGTGCATCCAAGCTGGGGTCGATCAGAAAGAGGCAGCTTGGGGACTTAAATGGGAGAATGGCAATTGGGCAAGGCCTTGTATATTTCCTGGAGTCTGTTAGTACTCAGAGGACAATGATATTTTATGCATGCACCTGTTCAGTAGGTCACACTTTGTTCTCCTCCATTTTCATCTCTGAATAGCTGTCTCATAGCCATTTTAAGGATTTTAAAAAGATCATGGCCAGGCTTGGTGGCCCATACCTGTAATTCCAACTACACAGGAGACTGAATCATGAGGCCAAGCTTGGGCGACTTAGCAATACCCTGTCTAAAAATAAAAAATAAAAAGCTTGGAGATATAGCTCCATGGTAGAATACTTGTCTAGCATGCATGAGGCCTTAGGTTCAATCCCAAGTACAGTCGTGGTGGTGGTGGGGTGGGGTGTGGTTGTAATGATAATGTATAAGATTCTCATGTGTTCCCACTCAGTGTCCTCTATTGTTAAATTTTTGAGACAGCTCTCATTATGTAGTTTAGGCTGACCTTGAACTCACTACATAGCTCAGGCTGGCATTGAACTAGTGGTGATCCTCCTGCCTCAGCTTCATGAGTATTGTCACCATAGCTACTGAGAGAATATTGATATATCATTAACTAACTGAAGTATGTATTTTTATTTGGATTTCTTTAGTTTTTATCTGATATACTTTTTCTGTCCAGGGTACCACATTACATTTAGTTATGATATCGCCTTTCTTGATTTCTGGTCTGGAACAGTTGCTAGGACTTTCCCTGTTTTTCATGACCTTCACAGTTTTCAGCTTGGTCAGATATTTTCTAGATTATTCTTCAGTTTAGGTTTGTCTGATTTTTTTCTCATGATTGTGCTGGGGTCCTGAATTCTTGGGCAGAAGATCACAGAGACAGAGTGCTAGTCTCATCACATTGTGTTAAGGACACGTGCTATCAGCATGGTTCATCGCCAATGATATTAAGCTTGATCACATGGCTGAGGCAGTGGTGGCCAGGTGACTCCAGGGCAAAGATACTGAAAGGCTGCATGTGCTCATCACAGAGGCAGGAGGGGTACTGCCCCTGGAAGTCTGCATGGTGGTGATCATGGTTACCAATGAAAAGACCCATGAAGAAAGTGAATCTCAGAGGGAAGCATTTGAATTCTGGGTTCAACAATCCCAATTCAGCTTCTAAGGCTTTGAGCTCTATTGGCTTTGGCAGAGACCAACTTTGATTCATTTCAGTGTCCTGAGTACCCAGTACAAGATTGTCTGATGAATATATAATTGGATGTTTTCCTTTTGCAAATGTATATTTTATTGAAATGAAATGCACATAACATAAAATTAACCATCATATAGTACATGATTCAGCAGCATTTACTACATATACAGTGTTGTACAACTGCCACCTGTATGTAGTTACAAATCATTTTCATCACAACAAAAGAAAACTCTGTACCCATTAACAGTTGTTCCCTATCTCTTTCTCCCTCCGGCCCCTGGTAACCATCAGTCTGCTTTCCTTCTCTATGGATTTGTTTATTCTGGATATTTCATTTAAATGAAATCATATTATATGTGACCTTTAATTTCTGGCTTCTTTCACTTAGCATAATGCTTTTGAGGTCCCTCCATATTATAGCGTTATCAAAACTTTATTCCTCTTTATGGCTAATATTTTATTTTAGGCACACCACATATTTTATTTATCCATTCAACTGTTAATGAACACTTGGGTTATATCCACCTTTTGGCTATTGTCAATAATGCTGCTGTGAACATTCCTGTAATAGGAACGTTCCTGTAAGAGTATTTGTTTGAATATCTGATTTCAACTCTTTAGGTGTCTACTAATGCATGACTGGACTTTTTTAAGAGGTGACATTTCTGCACAGATTTTTTTAGCAAGCTGATCAAACTATGGCTCTGATTATGGACCAAAGCTTGTGAAGAGGGAGTTCTGTCTTGGGCCAAGTTCATGGTGGGCTCACGTCTGCAGCACATATACTAAAATTGGGCCAAGTTCATGGTAATAACTTATTGATAGGTTAGATAAAGACAGGATGTACACATACCAAGTTCACTCATGACAAGAAGCTAGGAAAGCAATCTGAACATCATAATGCAAATCTACAATGAGGGCAAAGTATCAACTTTTACATGCGGTTTCTTTAAAAGATTCTCAAGCATAGGATATGGGAAAATTGGTTTATTAACAATAATGTAAGAAAGAAGGAACTCAGAGTTCAAGCTGACTGCAAGTGTTACCTAAGCCAATGTGGTGGCTGCCAAATAAGCAAATGTTAAGGTAGGTTGCATTAACAGAGGCCTAGCAACCACAATAGAAAAGGGCACTGTCCTTCCGTGCTCTACACCCACCTTACCAGCCTCTCTGACTTGCTGGGGTTGCTCTGAGCCAAGAGAAGGTGACCAGGCTACAAAGCCCTGGAAATCAGGTCATATGACAAGTGTGCAGAGGAGCCAAGTGGAAGCAGGGTATCTGGGACAGGGTCTTTGCTGCCCAAGGCATATAGTGCTGGCCCTGTAGAGGAAGGCTTTTACCCCAGCAGAGACTGAGCACCCTTCTCTTTTGGGTTGGGTAGGAGGAGTAAGCAAGTGAAAGACTCAGAAGAACATGAGGTGGGCCTGAGTGACTCTGACAGTAGGGTTACTGCCCTAATACTGAGAAATATTTAGCAGGAGGCAGAGGAGAGAAAGGCAGAGAGGATAGATGTGCATGGTCTCAGTCTGGTCTCCTTCTATCACTTTTCTTCCTCTTTCTTTTCCTGCTCTCCTTCTTCCTCCTTCTGGCTGTTACCAGCACCACTCTATCCTGGGAAGGGGCAGCTAAATCTCCACTAAAATTAAAGATTGTTGTTAAATGATGGGCTGAAACTAATGGAATTAGAATTTAACTGGCTGACTTGAAAAAAACCCAGAAATATTTTGCACTATTATAATGAATGACAAAAAGCAGGACACAAAATTACACATACATTATGACTAGGTCAGCATGCAAAGACAACCCATCAAACTCTTAACATCTACTACCTGTGTAAATCAGGGTGGGCAGGGGTGTTTATTTTCTGTTTTATATTTTTCAGTGTTTTTCAAATGCCGGGCAATGAAGGGTCGTTATTTCAAGAGTCAAACAAGAACAAAATGTTGTTTAATCCTTGAGACTGGATTGAACTGGCAGAGTGTGGCTGCCTCAGAAGTGGGGCCACAGCTCCTGCCTGGCCACTTCCTGCCCAGCCCTGGGCTGGCTGTTTGATTCCCTCTGCCTCATCTCTGCCCTCAGCAGATCTCCTTACTAGGCCCTGTTCCCAGCAGGCACTTGGGAAATTTCAGAAAACACCTAATTTCTTTTTGAAGAGCAATACAAATAAAGGATTTTGGACAAGGAAGGAGAGCTGGGGCTGGCTGTCAGGTAGAAAAGATCCTAAGGGTGGGGAGCCACAAGACGGGGTGCAGCCAACTTAGCTGTGCATCTGGCAGGGTGGAGCAGGACTTCTGCTTCTAAGCCAACAACGGGCTGCTGTTGTCAGCACTGGCTGGTAGGGCTCCAGCCCTGGCAGGGAAGGCAGGCTGGCCTGAAGGGGATTCCAAGGAGCCAGGCAGGGCCCATTCAGCTTGTGCTGTCTCCAGCAGCAGCCATGCAGAACCCAGATTCACTGAGCACTTCTTCTGTGCTGCCCTGGGTCGTCCTCCTCCTCCATAGCCTTTTCATCTGAGCACCCACTGGCTAGGTCAACGGCATTACCCACTTTACCTACAAGAAAATGGAGGCCCCAGAAAGGTTAAGAATCAAGGCACACTGCTTATACATAATCCCAGTGCTTTCAACCACTTTGACATACTGTCTCAAAATAGTCAATGACACTTCAGCTTCCTGCTTGAAGCAACTGGCGTGCCTCTGCCCTTCTTGGCCTTGATGTGGCCCCAATGACAGTTTGCCTGTGATGACACTAACTGTGGCTTTGAAGAATGGACTTCCTGTTTACTTCCTCCCCTCTTAGGGATAGAAGGGAGCCAGAGTAGTGATTGCAAAGACACTACCCTTGCCTCTGCTCTGGCTCCTGTGGTCTGTTCTGAGCCCTGGGAAGAAGGTAGGGGATCTGTGTCCTTCTAGATAAAGAGGAGAACCTCAGAGGAGTCACCAAAGGCAGGTTTCTGGTCCCAGGTGAGTTCCTATTGTACAGGGAATTGTGATCAAGGCCTGGATAGGACAAATGGGACTCCTTAAAGGGGCAGATAGGGCTGGGGATTTAGCTCAGCGGTTCGGTGTCCTGCCTTGCAAGTGCAAGGACCCGAGTTCAATCCCCGGTACCAAAAGTGGGGGGCAGATAGACAACATGATGAGAGGAACTTTTTATACTTCCAAGGCTCTTAGATATTGATGGAGGGAGGAGTAGTGGTGGGCAGTGAACTGGCACCTTCACCATTCTGGGTCAGATGCTTTCTGACCTGCAGCACATCTGCTCAGAGACATAACTGTGGGTGTCCTGCCACGTGCCAAGAATGAGACAGGTGGGCTGAGGACATAGTTTAGTGGTAAAGCACTTGCCCAGCATGCATGAGGCCCTGGGTTCAATCTCCAGCACCATAGGAAAAAAAGAAAAAAGGAATATAGCACAGGTGTCTGAATGGCTCCTGGTGGGTCTCCTCCTAGGAGTGGGAAAATGAGTCCCTGCAGATCTGGGTATAGCTCTCTCTGAAAAAAATTCAGGAGAATTTTGCATCATGTGTTCCAGGAAGGGGTTGTCTGGGCTGAGCACAGAGGACTCACAGTGTAATGACCAGTTCCTTCTCTGGGCAGACCCGGACCTGGGGGCTTGGTGCTGTGGCAGACACACACAAGGGAAATGCTGGAATCAAAGGAAGGGCCTACATCAGGGGATGCATACCTGGGGTCTTTACAGGACTGGTTCTTCTCTCTCTTCTGGCTCCAGGATGGCCTCTAACAATGCTAGGTCACCCGACACCCACGCCCAAATACATGACTGGTCACTGGGCACCAGGAGAGTCATAGCTGCCTCACATGGCCTGTTGGGTAACAGGAAAGAGGTTGACAGCTTGTGGGCATTGAGTAACCACTGCATTTCCTGATACTTCAAGTTTCTTTCTGCACCTTCCTCTTTAAAGGCCAGGCTGGGACTATACAGTATTCATGGCTGGATAACTGTTATTCTCTCAGCAGTCGTTTGCTCACCATCTCCGCACTGCTGTCCTGCCCTGGCCTTGGGAGACCCAGAGAGACCTCCATGGGGTTCTGCCTACTCGGGTTCCTAAAGAACACCACCCTCTACTCCTCATGGACTCCTCCCTCACATCCTTCACATGCCAGCTTCTGTTCTGTATTCCCCCGGACTTCTCCTGTGGCACCTTGTATCATAAAGGCTCCAACTGTCCATCTCCCCCAACTCCAAACTCAGCAAAGGCAGAGACTATGCCTATCCTGTGCCCCACTGTGTTGTTGGCACCTAGGAAAGTTCCTGGACCTTGGCTGCTCCTTAAACATTGTCAAATGATTTAATAAGCTCATTCAGTTCTATTTCCTTAACAGTCTGTGCATTCGTATCTCCATCCCGAACCCTGCCACAGCCTTCGCTCAGATCTCTGCTCCATCTGGACTATTGAGCAGTCTCCTGGCTGGGCAGGCCACCCCATCACCTCCATTCAATTTATTTTTCACACTAAAGGCAGAGTGGTTATTCAAAGTAGGGCCATTTGCCCTACTCAGAAGCCTTCTCTGGCTCCCCACCCTTCATGACAAGGCCACTTTTCTGGGATTAAAAAGAAAAAGACAGCAGACATGATTCATCAGCTCAGTCTGGATACTCTGAGAAAATGCTCAGAAAGACATGCAGAAGTACAAAAATTTAAACGGATGTTACATAAACTAGAGATAAGAGCCTAGGGCAAGGTACAAGGGAGAAATTGCACTAACTAAATAGTAGGTGGGGACAAATTGAGAAACACATTCTTGGATAACACAACTGCTGCTCCTCCCTCTGAAACAGAACAGCATGTATCTTACGGTGTCATTAACTGGTCATTCTGGGGCGCTGGAGTCTCTGCTTAGAGGTAATTTCTAGGTCCTTTTCTGTCCGGAATTGAATGAAACCAGCAAAAATGGTGGCAGGTAGCAAAAATAAAGGATAGGGTAAGGAAATAAACTGGGCTCTGCAGAGCCAGTTTAGGCTGAGTAAAAAGAGAAGAAAAAAAAGTCTACCTTTGGGAGTTACCTGAGGAGGGCACGAGGGCAAGTTCTTGGTGGTGTCTGTCTCCTTTTCGTGTTTTCCCATGCTTACATCACAATTAGATCAGAAGCCGCTCAAGGTCTAATAAGGAGTCCACATGTGCAGTTCTGCCCGGGTGTTCTGGGATCTTCCCATGCATCCTTTCCCAGCCAGTTTAAGCCATGCTCTGTCTTCCTATCTCTCTTTACTACAAGCTCCATATTTAAGGACAAGGACCATATTTAATTTATCTTGATATCTCTGGCACTTAGCACGGGACTTGGGACATAGTAAATACTCAATAAATAAATATCGGTTGAGTGAATGAATCAGATGATGAAATGAATTAATGAATAAAGAACCAGTGGTTCCATAGTAGATGAGGCAGACTGGTTGCCACCTACCTCTGTCTCAGGGAGACAGGAGTAGTCCTGACCAGCGGGGCTTTTGGCCAGACTCTAACAACACAGAAATGATCATCCAACTCAGAGTAGAATAGGGCACAGGTCCCAAGACCAGTGGGTAGAGTTCTGGATCTATCCGTTATTAGCTGTGTGAGCTTGAGCAAGTTACACAACCTCTCTATGCCTTACCTTTGTCATCTGTAAAATGGGGATAGTAATAGCACCTATCTTACAGAGTAATTATGAGAATAAAAATCACATGTGTCTATAAATTGAGTATGTGCACATTTGGTATAGACATACATATACAAATAAATTTACATATATATTATGCTATTTACATGCCACTTTAATTGTCATCATTGATGTTAATGCAGATGGTTCTCCTAATCCACGCCCACTCGTGAGCTTCTCTTCTTCTCTTCTCATCACTGTCTGCCTAATGGTGGAATTGAGACATTCACTGTTACGGAGCAGTACAGCACAAAGTGGAGAGGATCGGGAAGTGGTTGCTTGGCCTTTCTTTATTTCTGCCTGATCAAGATAGAATGAATAAAAACCACCAAAATAAGATCTGGGAAAAGACTGTACAGCACAAGGAAGAAGAAAATTGTTCTGAGAGTTCAGGTGAAATGACTTTCTATGAGAAAAAAAATAAAACTCAGTCATCTGCTCGGCACTCTTAAAGCAAACAGTGCTGGGTGTTTGATGTGGTGGTTATTTGTTGGGTGCTCCCAAGTGGGTAAAGGATATGAATAGGCTGTTCGTGGAAACAGAAATGCCAGCAGCTCTCAAACGTGTGAAAAGATGCTTGGTCTCACCCATAAGAGAAATGTAAACCACAACTACACTGAGGCATGATTTTCATTTATCAGATTGGCAAAAATCCAAGCATTTGATGTCAAAGGTTTGTGCGGTCTTGGAGATGTGGCTTTGAGGAATTCACACTTCTCTCACTTTCAGCAGCCTGAGATTTCCTCCCTTTCCGCCCATTGGTGCCCTGACTGATTTATGCCTGATAAATTTCTTACATACAGATCAGCACAAATTATCTAGTGCCCTCAGGCAAACTACTTATGCTCTCTGACCCTTGAAAGGTGGAGGATAACAGAGTGAAAAGCAGCCAGTGCACTGTAATAAGTGGCATATTTTATATTCTTTGGTAATTTAATATATATATGAATTTAAATACATTGTTGGACAAATCTGAAAATATATGTATAATTACAAACTTGATTTTTACTTTCTAGTCATTAAAGACAATAAATGCAAGGGAAAGAATGTATAGCAAAGAACAAAGGAAATAAAGCAATAAAGAAGCAAAAAAGACCATGTTAATTATGACATAGAATAAATTAAACCATGTGACTAAACTATGCTATGAAAGGCAAAGATTCTCACATTCTCGTGTTTAAAAACAAATTCAACTACACAGTATGTTGCTAATAAGAAATACTTGAAATAGTGGATATTAATTCTTTATGAGATATATGATTTGCGAATATTTGCTTTCAGTTTTCTTTTATTCTGTGGGTGGCCTTTTTACACTGTTGACAGTGTCCTTTGATGCACTATACATTTCAATCTTATATAGTTCACCTTATCTTGTTTATTTTTTATTACTTATGCTTTTTGTATTATTTATACATCAATTAATACTAATCCTAGTATTAATTAATCCTAGTATTAATACAACAATGTCTCCCCAATATTTTTTCTTAATTTAATATTTTATATTCATAATTATAGCTTGATATAATAAAAAAGAAATACATAACACAGAATATCTAAAGGTATTAAAATATACACATAAAAGAGACAAAAGAGTATTAAAAGGAAGTATAGGGAAGAGATATGGAACAGAAAAGGCCTTTCCTAGTATAGCTCAATATATAGAAGTCATAGAAGGAAAGATTAATAAACCACAGAAAATTAAAAGTTCTACAATAAAAATATTTTTGAATTCAATCCCCAGCACTGGGGAAAAATATTTTTGAAATACTAAGTGAAAGTCTAAAGATAAATGACAAATTGGGAAAAATCATTCTCAATTCAAGTGACATAGGATTGATCATCTTCCCAAAATATAAAAAGCCAATAAGCATAAATAAGACCAACACCTAATAGGAAAATGACTACAGGAAATAATAGAAAAGGAAATGTGGGCCGGGGATTTGGCACAGTGGTTCAGCCATCTGCCCTGCAAGCACAAGGGCCACAAGGGCCTGAGAGTTTGATCCCCATCCCTGTACCAAAAAAAAAAAAAGGAAATGCAAATGCCTCTTAAATGATTTCTTTGTTATGAAAAGATGCTTTCAAAACAAGAGAAAGGCAAAGTAAAACTACACTGAGACATGATTTTTCACCTATTGGATAGGCAAATATCTAAAAGTTGGATATAATAGTGTTGGTAATGCTATGGGAAACAGCACCTTTATATGTTGCTGAGGGGAGAAAAATTGGAACAACCCCAAGTGGGAAAAACTTAGCAGTTGTTATAGAATCTACAAATGTACAATCCTTTCAAGCAAGTGATAGCATTTATGTGGATTTTTCCTACATATATTTGTACCTGAGCAAAAAGTATATGCAAAGTTATTCATGGCAGCATTGTTTTCACTAGCAAAAAAAAAAAAACAGCAGCAACCCAAATATCCATGAATAAATGATTGGCTAATTATCAAACATCTGGATACTATGCAGCCTCAATCTAAAATGACTGAGGGAGCTTCCAATGTACTGATTTGGAAATATCCCAAGTCACACTGATAAGTGATAAAATGCAAGATCAGTGTATACAATATGCTGCATTTTGTGTTTAAAAAAAAAAGTGGAGACATTGTATTTGCACACAAATACACACACACACAATCAAAAATACACGAGAAACTAATAAAAATACTTTCCAGTGAGAGAAAAGAGAGAAATGGTAAGAAGAATGGAGACTGAGCAGATAAACGATAGGGATGGAGGGTAATATTCCTCTGCACCTCTTTTTCCCCCTATATTTCGAATTTTTGAACAACGGAAATATACTACTCATTCAGAATTTTAAAGAAAATAGTTAAGCCAGGCGTGGTGGCACCTGCCTGTATTCCCAGCACTTGGGAGGCTGAGGCAGGAGGTACTCTGTGAGTTTGAGTCCAGCCTTGGGCTACATAGTGAGTTCCAGATCAGTCTCAACTACATAGTGAGACCCTGTCTCAAAACAACCAAAAAACAACAACTGAAGGAAAACAGTTAAATGACATTGGAAGTTTACATGAAGAAGCACAGACAAACCTAAGTTTGGTTAAAAACAAATGAAGTAAAGTAGGGCATGATAATAAATAAAATTGTGGCTAAATGTGTGAAATGAGACAAAAGTGGGAGAGGTTTTACTGATAAAGCATGTAATTCA